CACAAAATCAGCAACAACAGACCTGGTCCTGCTGTAAGAAGCCAGCTGCATTTATACTCAACAGCAGATAGTCAGAGCTTGCAGCAGTCAATAAAGACAGAAAGGTATTACAGCTTCCATAATCATCCTTTCTATATCTGAATGTATAAAACACAAAAACATCTACACCTATGCACATACATACTTGTATCAATTTAGTTTCAAACATGTTTCACATACATGTATCTACATATATATTTCTCTAGAAACTGAACAGATGACAAATAATACAGTCTGTGTAATTTATTTGATGCTCCCATGATGATGTAATTTAATGATGTTCCCATGTCTTATTTTGTCAGTATGCAGCACAATGTTCTATTGAAAAGAGTATGGAAGTTCCTAAGAACAGGAGTGAATAGACTTTGGATATTTAGAAGAGAACTGGAGAAGAAATAAGATAGTGAGACAAATGCATTGGATGTAAATTTCAGTGAGATACGTCACTCATCTGCAAACCAGTTGAAAACATTTGATATTCACGTTTCCCAGCTAACAAAAATTGTTTAACAGGGCAATTTGTTCCTTCCAAAAGTTGATCTATCCAGAAAATACTACTGGGTCAGTTAATTCAAGTCATGTTTTAAAAGCACTTTTCCCCTTTACTCTTCTTCTTTGAGAGCTTGTTACATGTTTATTCAGTTGAATAATAATTAAAGGTATTTTGTTAAAGGTTTTACAAGTAAGAAAGTATGAAGTATGAAACTTGCAAAGATATGAAGCTTTCTAAATAAATAACATCTTGAATGATACTTCCATAAAATTTCTAATGGACTAATGGAGTGAAGATAAATATTTTAACAGGTCTTAGATTTTCACAATTGCCCCTCTACTTTCAGTGTATGATTAAAGATTAAATACAACATGGAAGAAAGAAAAATAATTTTATAATTTTGTGTCTAAACCCACATTAGTATTTTAAAACAATAAAGTCTTAAAATTCTTTAAAGTCCTCAGCTGATATTCTTTTAACTAAAACTCATTTCAAATTAATGGAAGAACAGTGTTCCAGATTGTACATGAGGCAAAAATTCTTGAATTTTTTTTTTCTCTGCCATTTTTTTTTCAAATAAATTTCTGGACAGGGATTTATAGTTTTGTAATAAGTAACCTTGATATTTCAGGTTAAGACAACATTATCCAATGTCCCTCCAGTTGATTTTTAAATTTCAGATTGTGGATTGCAAACCCCCTCCCCTTAACAACCAGGATTACAAATTCAGTTTTCACCTGTCTATCCCTAATAAGTTTAAGCGAATCAGAAACTATAAATCAATGACACAGTATTTCCCTAACACAAGCAAAAGAGCTAAAATACAAAAGGGAAAAAAAAAGAAGTCTAACTTTACCAGAGCTTAATGAGGTAAGGTACTACTATCTCAATGGGGAGGCAACTAAAGTGGGTGATTACTCCAACATGTCACACTGAGGTCTGGCAATTTATGAAAGTTGAATATTTAGATTAAATTTGTAAGTGATAGCCATAATGCTGTATTTAGATCTTTGAATTATCAAAACAATTTCAAAGTGTTCCAGTTATTAATTTGTTCCAAAATTAATTTGTACAACATTGCATTAAAAGTACTTTCTTTTTTCAAATCAGAAAAGTATGCAAAGTGCAGTTTGTAAATAACTGCACTTAATCTATAAGGAAAAGTTAAAATAGGAGAAGAAGGCCTGATTATCGCTGCTGCTCTTTATGCGATTTCAGCTGCATTACTGGGTGACTGGAGTTATAGGCATGAGAATGTGGTTAAGAAAGATAATGATTAAGCATAAGTACTAAAAATTGTAGGTAATAACCAACTTTTAAATTGAAAAATCATAAGATATTATCATCAAAAAACTGAGAAAAGCAAAGATAAGCAGGAAAAAAAATTCATATGCTGTTGTGATAAAAACACAAAAAAAAAGATCTGACTATTCCTGTATAATGGCCATTGCAAGCTACTTAGTAGCACTGTATATGGGATGGATTACATTACATCACCTTTCAGATATTATTGAACGTTTTAAGCAGTGAATACACCAGACAACCAAAGTCATAGAAGACTGAAAAAACCCTCAAACCCAAATCCTCCTGGCATATTTGTTAGTATTAAATTATGTAATACAACCTGAAGTCTCTAAAATCTGCCAACATTAGATATTCAGAATTTCTCAAGTGTCCTGAATATCACTGCTCTTCCTCTGATACTGAGCACAGTCACTGATAATCCTGATGCAAGTGAATTTTAACTGTGTCCCCTCAAAATAAGCTCAAGCAAAAACAGAAAAAGAAAAGAGCAGAGGACAACCAAACCAGACTCTTAGAAGAAATTCTCCCATGGAAGATGACAATGGACTTTCCATTTAGCAGATAAGCATAGCACAACCTCAGACAGCAGGTTGTTGATTTACCTCCCTTATTCACTGAGATCTTGAAATGAAAATACAGGCCTTGTAACTAGATTCAGGTGGAAAGTGTGAAAGCTGTTCAGTTTATTGAGGGTGGTGGGTATTTCACCTGAACAAAGCAAGACTCCAATCATCTTCACAGAATTTTCTAATCTTTTCATTCTGACACTTGCTGTTTCCTCCAGCCTACAGTCCTAGTATATTACATGACTTCAACAGAAGAAACCAGTTACCTTCTCAGGGGTGAGCTTGCACTTTTCTCTCTTGCACAATCTCAGATTTGACATTTTGTATAGAGAGAGATATTTTCAAAAGTGGGGAAAAGTAAGCAAGAAAAATTACCACTGGTGTGAAGCAGAAGTAAGTCTCAACCCCCTCCAAATGTTCTTGCTCCGCCAAAGGGCATCCACACAGTTTCAGTGGGATGGAACTATCTCAAGAAGATGGATGGAGGCCAAAAAAATATCTGAAGCCATTAGATAGGATAGAAAGATGCATTTGGGAAATAGTGAGGGTTTGATATCAGAAAGCTATTAAACAGCTGTACTATGATTGAAGGGCTTAGAAGGAAGACCAAGCTGCCCAGGACAGCAGTTTGAGCTGCTGATACAGCTACCTGGGAAGGATTCCGGAGTTATAATATGCACAGTCTTTTGCAGGCAGATATGAGCTTATTTTGCATGAGCTGACCAGAAGCCATTCTGCTATGACAGCATCCCATCAAGCGCTTGGTAGTAAGCCTTGCTGCAAAGCAGTGTGTGTTCCATCAGGCAACGTACCCTTCTCACGTGGCTCCAGTCCTCAGGCTGACCCAGAGTGCAGGCTACAGTAAGCTCACATCAGTTTGCAAATGGGTGTGCACACACACTCACAAGAAAAAAAAAGAAAAAAAAAAAAAAAGAAAGAAGAAAGATTTCAAGACCAGTGTGCAATGAATCCATCAACTAAGAGGTAGGAAAACCTGAAGTTTGCAGGATCAGGATGAGCATTGGTCCCTGAGAAGCAGATGAGAAAAATTAACAGGGAGATGGAGCTTATGGTGAGGGAGATCAACACCGGACACGCTCACTCAGAGAGGGGACACTGTGAAGCCCCAAATTTGTAACAGAAGTTTCTTTCAGAGGCAGCACTTTAACTGAGACTTTTAATGTAGTGAAGGTCTTCACTTAACACCCTCTGTCACCTCCTAGCGATTATGGAAACATTTTATTGCTAGTGATTTGAATGCAACGCAACACAATTATATCATAAACTCTTTTCAAAAGAAGTCAAAACAACTCAGGTACAAACACCTGGCTTCAGTCACATACACCAATATAGCTGGTATTCACAAAATCACACCAGAGTCAAAGTCCAATACTCCAATACTGCATTTAATTCCATATTTGCAATATAGAAGTTATTATCTCCTATCTTTCATTCTCTTCTGATTTCATATAAACCGTCAAGAATATCTATTACTTTTTCCCTTAAACTTTTCAAATATAACTTTGGAAAGGGAGACATTTAATTTGATGAAAGAGCACAAAGACAAAAAGGTGCTTGCTACAGATACATAAAAAATACTGCTATTTTACTTTGCCTCCTATCACTTTCTTTTTTGTTAAGCTCTTTAATGTATATCTGCTTTGGATGCGGCATACAACATAGATTGCCTTACTGACACACACTATTCACTATGTCATTTTCTGTAATGCATGTAAAAATATTAACTAATCTTTTTTCATGACTCTGGGATAAATTACTGAATATTTTCTCCAATACAGCTGGAGAAAAAAACCCTACACTTAAAAGAACCTGTCTATTATCTCAAAACATTTCATGAAAATGATATGCATTGCAATTCAGAAATTGCTATGACTCCATCCTTTAGTAAGATTTTGTCAGAACTGAACCTCTTCTTACACATTCTATTTTCATGCTCACATCTACAGTCACTTTTAGGAATGGATAGATTGAATTGCACATATTCATATAAATGCATCTTTGCGTTGTATATACAAGTTTGGCATAGAAACACTAATATAAATAGTTATCATATTTGCTAATGATCTATTTAAGTCTTTTAGTTGAAAAATGTTAAATTGCTTCATTTCTTATTGAAATTCTCATCTTCCCAGAGCATTAAAAAAATCTACTTTATATATTTTTCACAACTCCAGCAATGGCTGGAACTTTTAAGACATGTTACTTCTTGTGAACATCATTATTTTTTGTACTGATTAAATTGGATATAATAGTGAGAACATAACAACTTTATTTAAGAAATTGAGGAAATAGGACAAATCTAAAAGGGAGAAAATATTTGTAATATACAAGCTTGGATGAAAACAGCTAAGACAAGAAAAATAGAAAACCCCCAAAAGACCTTCTAAAGATTGTATTTTAGTGACCTGAAGCTTATATTCTAATTAATTTCCAACTTTAGGTTTACATCACTGAAAGCCATCATCTTTGCTGACAGACAAACCAATTATTTAGTTTATAGGTGACTAAGAATGAGGAACACCAATTCAAACAAAAGCAAGATGATTAAGGTAAAGCAAAGGTTTGGAAGTACTCACCTTAGGCACCCAGTGGCATTGCGCAGCACCTGTGATGAATGGAGCTGTATTTTATGATCATCCTGGAGTGAAGAGTTTTCCCATCCAGAGTGAGGGATGATCACTGCATTGGTCAACACTGCAAGGGCATCTTGGATGATTGGCATTTTCAGTGCATCACAGGAGGATAGATTCCAGAGAACTCCTACAAAAAGTAAAATGACTAATAATTATTAGTCCTTCAAAATAACTCCTCCAAAATATGTTTGAATGCTGTTTTCTTTAAAAAAACCCAATCCAAACCAATATATTAGCTGTTTCTGTCAAAAATAAAACAGACTACAGTGTAGATGGGGCTGAATGACACTTGCAAACTTTTGCAGTGGGAATACAGCTTTAAATAGGAAACATGTAGTCACAGCAGCACTGGAAATTTCCCAGAGTTCTGCCTAAAAACCGAGCAGCTGGTTATGATAGAGGCCTACACAGGCTGTGTAGCACACATGGAATGAAGGGGTATTAGCAGGAATATTTTAGGGATTGGTCTTCAGATATCTTCCTTCTAAGTAAACTAATAAAAACCAGTAGCAGAAAACAGGATCTGTTTTACACTAAAATTTTCACAGTTGATAGATACACATTGAGAGAAAAAAACCCCAGCCTTGTGATGTTCACTGTAATGGAAGTAACTGTCTAGGCTTGTTGGTACTACAAGCAAAAATACTTCCTCCACAATCTGATACAGTAGTACTTTCAGCAAGTAATATTATATTTTGTAAATATTCAGCTACACAAAGTTAGAAAATAATGTAAATTTTACATGGAAACAGCAAGCTTAATGGTGCAACTAACAAGGAGATTTACTAGAGTTAAAAGAAAACAAACTCTCGTCCGTTACAACTCGTAATGTGCCAAGGAAAAAGAAGACAAATCAAGAGCCAAAGTTTTCTAAGCACATCTGAAAAGATCAAGGTCACTGCAATTGTGACACACAGAAGGCAGGCAAGAAATTGTTAGGAGCAAAAGACATGCTGCTTTCCATTCCCATATTTACGTATTTGTGGTTTTGCAGGAAAAGCACATGCGACTTTTGTGCTGTGCCAATCGTCTGCTGCTGCCAGGCAGCTCTTATTGCTGGGGGAAGCTGGAGGACAATTTGCTGTTCTGAAGAACCAGCGGTCCTTATTTTAGCTCAGCACCCTTCCAGGAGCAGCTGGAAGAGGAAGCTTGCCTCATCATGCCCCTCCCCTTGCCAACATGCATCCTTTTCTGTAGAATCCAATCCTACTCCTCCCTACTCCCCTTCCCAAAGGACAGTAGCCTGGCCTCACATCTGACCTTGAGTGGCAAAATTGAGTTTTGGTTTTACATCTACCGAAGTTTTCAACCAAAAGAGAACTACTACCATCTGATCGTTTTATATAGGTTACAAATACAAACACTACCAAAAATCCAAGTGAGTGTTGTGGGAGGAAAATGCTGAAGGAAGGCCTTAGGAACACAGACTCAGATATTTATAAATACAAGCAGCAAGAACACTACTTGCTCAAGATTTTCCTTAGCATTCTGTGCTTTGACAGAGCAGTGTAATTAACAGGAATCAACTTACATTTTTGGACTTCCCTTTAAAATTAATTACCTCTATGGGGAGACTGTTTCCATTATACCATTTCATGTTTAAATTATTTTATATGTAACTGTCTGCGAAGATAGTTACACAGTTTAACATAAAACTTTCATCAGTATGCTAGTAAAAAAACACCATTAACATAATCTGCATGAGGCAGACCAACTTTAGCTACAGACAAAAAAAAACAGAAATAAGAAAAATGTTCATTTTAATAATGTTCATTTTTTCATTACGAATTGCTACTTTAAAGGGAAAAGAGTATTTGTCTGAATTCTGTTCGGAATGTCTTTATGATAAGGAATTCCATTTTTAAAGCAATAAAGACCTTCATAAGGATATTTATATTTGCTTTTCTATGTGTTCTTGCTCTTGGCAAGCTTTAATGGCACATCTATTATTCTTAAAATACCTAGCATTTTGCTGGGTTTTGTCAGTAAAAACAACAATATGGTTGTCTTTTTTTGTTTTACATTTATCAAGACGGGTGTAAATGATGTGCATGGTATAAAAGCAGAGAATCAGAATGCAAATCTTTCCCCCTTTAAGGTTCAATTTAGTTCTTATGCATTACAGTGCACTGTAACTTTGTGAAGAAGTTCTATTTTAAAAGTGAAGAGAGTGTTTTGATGGCAACAAAACAATACTTTGGGTTTCAACAAGTAGTCATGAACTACTTCTTGAAAAGCAAGCAAACATAAGAGCCCTGTCTAGCAAAATGCTTAAAAACATATATGTCAAAACTATTTTCTATTCTCTACAGTTTCTTGCTAATTTAAAGTAAACTCATATAACCATCATGGTAGTCAGCAATAGTTGAGCCTAGAAATATTCTTTAAACCCTCTATTTTCTCTAACTGGAAAATTAAACCTTCAGAGCAAGAGGATGGTGGGACCACCAGGCTTAAATGGCTTTTACACCTTCTCCTAAAACGATTTTAAACCAAGGCAGAAGCGAGCAAAATTTAAGTCAAGGCAGAAGCATTGCCCAGTAAGCCTGATGCCTTCTTCCAAGTTTTTAGTCCTCACAGTTTTAAAGAATGCGATAATCCTCTTCTACCCCAGAACAATGTGTTTTATCTAATTGTGAGGCTGAATACTACCAACAACATGAACCAAAAATTTTCTAATGACATGTTAAAATTTATTCTCACAAGCAGTGCAGTCTGCTACATGCTGAGGTTGGAATTTTATACGCCTCCTTGTAACCTTCTTAATTAAGAATTGCAATTATAAAAAGGTACTGGCAATTAATTTCTCACTGTTTTTGCTGAGGATAACCTGGAGCTACATTTATGTGGGGTCTGAGAAGAAGATCCATTGCCTGGACTTTACATTGGAGAATGACAATAAAATAAATCCTTTACCTGATACACCTTCCATTACAGAGTCACCTTTTCACCACATGATTCCAAACATATTTTCCAAGCATGTATTCATTACATGACCTTTAGGGCTACTGTAAGAAACTTTCAGAATACTCTGAAAGCCCTGCTTGAACTGGGTTACTGCCAAGAAGCAACCCTGCAATAGCCGCAGAGGTGCCTTGACTGACCCCTGGAGAATTTGCATTGTCATCAGCTGCCCACAGGAAGGTAAGGGACTGGACTCACCAGTGGCCAATGCCAAAAAGTGGGATCCACCCAACAACATAACAGTCCAACTCAACTGTTTACCATCCATTGACTGACTCTTGTGAGAGGTATGAAATAAAGAACTAATCAGTGCTGAACATCTCTTAATCACTTTCATTCATATTTTATCTCCTTCATGCTTTTAAAGCTTGGAGGCATTCAGGTTAATCATTTTGTGTCCCTATTTTCAGATCACTTTTTGGTTATATCGGAACACTTGTAGAAAGACAAAAACAGTTACACCAGACTGAACAAGTCTTTTTGCAGGTTGAGGTTTTTCACTCTGACAGATAAAAAATGGAAATACGTTGAAAATGTATCTTGCAATCACATTTTAAGTTTAAAACTGAGGAGAAACTGGTATTGAAAATATTCAGTTGATTCCAGTTAGAAGATGAATTTTGGGTCTGAGTATTAGTCTAGCAGATATCAGACGAAGGATTCTTAGAGAAGACTACAGGAATGCTTATTCTGGACAGCTTACTGTATCAAGTTGCATCTTCTGGAGCAGTTTATCAGAGGCTATGCAACTGCTATGGTCAATGGGTTGCTCAATTTATTTCACTCTGACTGAGTGAAAACCCCATAATCTCTGAATCAGACTGCAGCTCAAACTCATGCTGATTAAACACTTCAGTGCATTTTTGTGCTGGTGTTTTAGTTAGAACTGGTATATGTGTATCTATAGTCAGATATATGGTATATGTGTATCTATAAGTCAGCCACATGCTATCCTTATTCCATTCAAAGTCAAGAAAATAGACATCACATGCAAAAAATACCATCATAGCAAAAGAACATATGCAAAACCAGGGAAATCTAAACAACTATTTAGCTCATGATTTAATGAGGCCTCAAATTATGACATATATAAAAAACAAACCTCTCAGAACAACTGAGACTACAAATACAAATGGAAATCAAGAAACTGGCAGAGTCTTTTCCAAAAAGCATTGCCCCTGCCACTATGTTTTTAAAAATGAATTATATGGTAACGAGATTGTAAGTAAACAAATACTGTTTGGAGAAATGAGACTTTGATTCTTCTCAATATGGGATGTTTAAGTCAACTTTCAATTCTATTAAGATTTTGCTTAATTCATATTCTCTGTAAAAATAAAAATTCAAAAGGATTCTAATACATCCAGGTTCTCCTTTTCCATGATAATTTAATAGTTTGGTCATGGATTGATGCAGAAAACCGTTTGATAGTGCTGAGAGACTGCAACCCACAACTAGAGACCAAAGCATTGGTAGGCATTTTTTTTTTAATAAGCTGAAGGCTCAGAAATACTACTGGCAGTTTCTCTCATGAACATGACAATTAAGATTGAAATCTGAGTGCTAAATACCCTGCACAGAAGCCAAGCACAAGGGATATTTTGCTGGAATCCTTAGGAAAAGCAACTTCTACCCCAAGCTCCCAAGTGCTAGAAAAGTAATTTGCTGGCTGCCGCTTGGAGCCCCCGCTGTAATTGCCAGGCTGCTCTGCAGAGCTGGATCTGCTCCCTGGCAGCAGATGTGGGCTCCTGATAGATTACAGCAGTTCTGCTGCAGAGATGCTGAGTATCAACCACAACATTTCTTAATACAAAGTGCAGTAAGACTTCACAACCAGCTCAACCGTCAAGGTGAAAGACTGGCTTGTTAACAGGCTTTCTGCAGGAAAGAAAAAGTGGCTGATTTGAAAAGCTCTGTCACTTGAACAATGCACAGCTTAGAAGGAATCTCCTTAAAAGCACACTGTGAAAGTCAGTTTAAAATTGGCATAACAGACGAGGAACTTTCACCAATTTTCGTGAAATATTGATCTGGTTTGTAAATGAGTACCTATGCATACCTTGCTGTAATTCACTGGTTGACGTGCACAGAGGTGGTTTGCTATCTGTGTATAAGCTGATGTAGGAAAAGTCTGCACTGAGAAATACTGAGTTTCAGTAAAAG